CAATAACCGTTCGTGAAGTAAAAAGCTTGCATGTTTTCCTTTAGTATTATTAGTACATGACCTCTGCGATCCTGGAAAACATTCTGACATTCCATCACACCCTGATCCGTCATTCAGCCCTTTCAGAAATTTAAATACTAATGCAGTAAATACTTATACCGTTCAGCGACTCCCGTATTTAATATTCTGGTTCAATAGCCCGACGAATGACACTTACGCAATCCGGCAGCTATACCTAAACAAATTTGTTAAATGGTTTAAATGCTTTGTCGTTTATTCAAAGTGATTTGAACTTAGTATTTGTGGACATCCAAAAGGTTCATTGTGGGAACATTGAAGTCCTTATTGCCAGCATCGGGATCATAAATACTAGTACTAGTTAAGAGTCGTGGCAATTAGCAGATGCCATACAGTTATTAGGAGTATTGTATATAATCAGAAAGTTTTTCCGAATTTAGATTCCTTACTCTTTCCCATTATTTATCAATATTATAATTCTTAAAAATAATTATCGCATAGTTCGGTAATAATCATTTCATTCAGTGATTTAACTCAATTCAATAATTACGCAATTAACCATGTGAATGCAGAACATTAGTTGCCAGCTCTCAGTTCTTATTTATACCTGATCAAAATTAACCCGGACAATATAAAAGTATCTGCTGAAATGGCTTTCAGAGACTTCAGCGAAAATAAGTTTTTCTTGCTTCGATTTCATTTTGGAACGCCATTCGCTAGATTTTTGGACATATGCAAATGTTAAAGTCGCGTCTAGTAACCAGTATTGAAGCGTTAGAGATGCTTCGGACCCAGTTGCGCTATCGGGCATATCTTTCCCGTTCTCTAGTCGACGTCGTTTTTGCAAAAAATACGGACCCTTTAGTATATTATATCTATCATTGTCACGCTTAATACCCAAAACATTAAACAAATTGTAAAGAATTGATTCATAACAATTGTTGATCCTTTGCTATTTCTCTGATCCCAACAAGGGTATTTTCAAGCGCTATTTCCTTCTCCTAGATGATCTTTTTGGCTCACATATTGCGATCTGACACGTTCATTACACCAATTATCCTTGGTAGATCGCTCAAATCACAATAATTCACAAAGACTTTTACTACAACTTATAGGAACAGAAGTCTACATTTCGCTGCCAATCTGATCAATGCCACCCGCTACAGTGACTTTCCTTACTGCAAACTTAATTTTTCGACTATGGAACAACATACAAGTATACTGTCCTTACCTAGGCTATCATTAATATTACATTAGATGTCATGTTGGGGCAACGCACTTAACTGCGCGCCAAGCGCTCACACAATCAATAATAAACCATTAACTGGCGTTGTTAATTGTCGCAAAAGACTTCATCAGCAAATCAACTGCACTGAGTACACACATGATATATACTTCGAAACGGACTCCAACGCTGACATTTCACAAAGTCCTTTGAATATAAAAATTAAATATGCTCTAAGTTTATGTGTATAACTGCTAAATAGCATTAAATACCCAATAAAAGACACTTGTTAGACTTTGTCATGTCTGGCCACTATCAGTACGCTAATTCACCAGCTGCTCGCTGTCCCACCATTAAAAGCTAATAAATGCGCCAAAGAGACTTTGTTAAACTGGAGCAACAACAACATACAGGCGACCTTATGTAGTACCTTCATCCGCTCATTCTTGTATGATATACATTTATGTTTGTACGTATGTATGTTGACTTTCATGTTAATAACCAATATGGCGCTTACAGTACTATTATGCACGCACACATTAACAGGCATGAGTATGAGTTTAGTGACGGTTTAGTTGATTGTGTCAAGCAGGAAGTGCTCCAATAATTTTTTGAACTTAAAAGCACAACTACAATTGAGCAAAGTAGTTCAAAAAGTGTTTGGAAAATTCTAAAATAATATACTTTCTAAGGCACTTTATGCTGATTTATGGTGACTAAGGTAATAGGTTCCTTTAGCTTGCATGTATCGCGCACCAAGGGAGACACCAATCATGGCACTTAATGCTATACTGCAATTAGAATCCATAGATATAAAGGTAAGCTGGCTCTTTAAGAGCACGTGTCTCTAATCTCTTAAAAATTCTCAAACGCTTTGAGTTCATTAGATATTATTTGGATCATGGCGTCAAACCAAATCAAACTCTGGTGGTATTTCCTCCACTCACATACCTTTCAGGGGGATGTGAATAGTTGCAAACCGCTAAAGCAGAGAGGCACTAAAGCTTCTTATCGAATGGGTCTAAACTCGGCTGCAGGTTGTTGACAGATTCTACTACAGGCAACCATCCATCAACAATGAATACAGGTTTCCGTTTTTCAAACCGAGTTTGCTGCCATTATGACGTCAGTCGAACAGCGGCTGCGGAGTGGAGCCACTTTCAGAAGGTAACTATCCACTTTAGTAGTAGAACAGCGATACCATAGCTGAGTTCTTAAACGTACGCTGAAGGCTAGCAAGGGAATGCATTATTACGTTATCAATATATCGAGAATTCATTTCGCCTTCGCGTTAAAGTTGGACATCTTATGGTATGTCAATTGTAAAAGCTGCTTGAAAGAAAACGAATTTCAGAAATCTGTCGAGTTTACATTCCTTGGACACACAAAAATCCGCGTCCGTTCCGGTTACGTAGACTCGACTGTGGTTTGAACGAATTTAAACACTTGCAAGCTCACGCTTTCAGATTTCCCACAGAACTTGATTCGTATTGCTTTGTGGGCGCATCGTCGACTTGGTTTTCGAATAAACGCTGGAAATTTGTACGAAAATTGAAAGTGTCCTCTTTTTATTTAAATTTATTGTGCCATAAAATATTTTATCGGACTTACAATAATAACAATTCGCTATTATTAATTTACTAGCCCGCATTTAACGAATATGACGACATTCATCCTGCCTTGGTTGTCAAAAAAGTCTTGCGGTATTTTCGCTAGTTGGCGCTGAGAGCGCGTAGTTCTAGTTTTATTCGTCGCATCGGGTCATGCTATACCTTTTTGGGAAGCTCATTTCACGCGCTAACACGTGTTTGATTGATCATCGTTTCTTTTAAGTCGTTCGTGAGTTATAGCGTCGCAAACATGGAGCACAATACAGAGAAAATACGTCATAATTTACAGTACAACTACGATAAAGGCAAAAATGTATCTCAAGCCGCCAATAAAATTTGTGATGTTTATGGACCCGATACAGTTTCCATTTCTACCGCACAACGCTGGTTTCAACGTTTTCGTTCTGGTGTAGAGGTGGTCGAAGATGCGCCACGCTCCTGAAGGCCTGTCGCCAAAAATTGCGATAAAATCGCTGAATTGGTCGAAAGAGATCGGCATAGTAGCAGCTGTAGCATCGGTCAAGAGCTGGGCATGAGTCATCAAAAAAAAAATTTTATGAAAAAATGAAAATTCAATAAAAAAAAAACACCGTAAGAATTCCGCAAAAATTCCGCAAGACTTTTTTGACAACCTAATATATCTGTCTTCACTTCGAATATCTAATTGGCGCCACGTAGCGAAAAGAAGAAACGTCTGGCGCGCGGTTGTTAACTCGGCTATAATCGCGTAAGCGGTGACTACGCCAATCAAGAAGAAGAATATATCAGCTTATATGTAAAAAGTGGATTTTGAAAACTATATGATTTCAGATATATACGAAATCGGTTCACACTTCTCATGGTCCTGTCCTATACGCCAAATATTATAGTTTCCTCTCGGCCGACTATGAAAAGTATAGTACGGTAACGCGAGTATACGACATGTACAATATCTCTAGTGCTTAACCGCAACCCCATGTTGGGGGTTTTTAATCTCTTCCGCAAAGCCATTAGCATAAAATACCTGCAACATATGAAAATGCGTGCAATGGTGACGTGAATAATCACTTAAATGTTTACAGCTTTATTTTTGGTTTTATTGCCACACACTACTACTAATACGTGCTCATAAATTGATAGACTATAGTGTCAAACGATTATATTGCATGCACTTCTTTTATTGGCGTAGATTTACCAAGTACTTGTTGAAATGAAATTCGTGTAGAGGTAAGCTGGGTTGTTGGCTGATAACAAATTAATTACGTAATATCCCTGCCATGCATAATACAAATTAATAGTTCTCCTAGTCACGAGCTACATATAATCCTGTATAACAGATAAACATGCAGAAATGTACTTTTGGAAGCAATTATTACTCACGCGCATGTGGAAAGTAGTATGAGGAATATGAAGGTTTAAAGAAAATTTGGTTCTTGGCTTAATTTTGTGAGCGCTGTTTCATTTTTTATATATAGTATATTTCTTATTGCCTATTGGAATTAAGTTTCAAGCATATTTCTTATAAAAGTTCATATTATAGATTTAATAAATATTGAAGCAACCTTTTGTAAGCCTCGGCTGGGTGACCTTAAGTGCCTTTCACGAATGCTTTCAAAATCCGAGGAGAATTTTGAATTTTGAAAACTTAGAAATCTTACAGGAAACCAAATTTAACAAATTCGAATGCGGTGGGATAACTCTCGTTTATCAAAGAAACATTCTTCAATGTGAAGATGTATTATCGTGGTCTAAAGTCCTTGAATTTTCTGTCCACTGGTGGTTTGTGACAGATTGCCTTACGTAAATAGCTCAAAACAGCGAAGTAGTATAACTTACAAGGTAATCAACGAAAATGGATAACATCACTTTAATTTTTGACCGGCCTTGACGATGTTTCTTCGTTATTAGTTCATTTTTGAACCGCCATTCGCTGGTTATTGGACATTTTCGACGTCATATTTATGAAACCAAGTGTTGTTAATATTAGTGATGCATTTGATGAATGTATGACTCTCAGCTATGTTGACAACCATCTTACTCAAAGTTTGTTTTGCAACTGATTCAGATCTTTTGGAATGAGTCTACTAGCATTGCCACGCTTTATACCCAAAACATTAACCAAAAGTGTATGGAGTCTATTCAAAAGAAATTTTAAGATCTTCTTACTATTTACTATTTATTTTATTTTATACCACAATCAATGTGGTAATGAAGTGTTAATACAATTAACAAACAGAAATTTACATTTATGCGGTCGCCGAAGTGGTGGCAGCACCAGCGGCGGCAACCTCCTCCTTGATGCGATCCTTCTTGAGTGGACCCATGAATGCCAATTTGTCGGCTGGGGTTTGGAAACGACCATGACCCATCTTCGACGATGTGTCGAKGAACTTGAGTTTGATTTGTTCCAAAGCAGAGCGCTTGGTGTGTTTCAGCAAAGACTTGCGGAGTGTGAGCACACGCTTCTTGGAGCCAATRCAACAACCCTTGAGCATGACGAAGTCATTGGTGACTTCACCATAATGGGGGAAACCACCCATGGGTGTAATGCTCTTATCGGTGAAATCGTACTCGGTGGAGGCGTTATTTTTGATAACCTTGCCTTCTTGTTGATTTCGGTACGGTGATGGTAACCCTTTTGACCGGCACGTGCGACGGTGAAGGACACACGGAATGGATGCCAGGCTCCAATATAAGCAACCTTGCGCAGACCCTTGTGCGTCTTACGTGGCAATTTCTTGGCGTGCCAACGAGCAGTAACACCCTTGAAACTTTTACCTTTGATAACACCAACGCAATCAATCATCTCATCCTGTCCGAAGACATTGCTTACTTGCACAGGTTTCTCCAAGTTCTCACGAACCCATTTAACCTTATCTTCAATAGAACCACCGTTCAATTGGACTTCCATGATATGGGCCTTCTCTTGGCGTTGCTTAATCAAACGGATCTGTGAATGAGCAATAACGCGGATGACCTTGCAGTAACGGAGCATCTTGCGGAAGTCATTTTCAATGCTCTTCTTGCCCAAATCAACTTCCCATTTCTTGCTGGATTTGGTGAAAGCCTTCTTCTTTGATTTGTACCAGTTCTTGTAGAAACGGCGACGGCACTCCTCGGATAAGTGTTGTGCCCATACATTGACGAGAGCACGGAGACCGTAGGGAGTCTCAATGTAACCTACAGCACCAACAACAATCATTGGTGGAGTTTCCAAAACAGTTACGGCTTCAACAACCTCCTTCTTATTGATCTTGGATCCAGGACGGGCCGCTTCACGAACGATGTGTGTCATACCAGCTTTGTAACCAATGAAGCATGTTAAATGCACTGGTTTGCTGTCATCATCCTTGGGGAAGGCCTTAACCTTACCACGATGGCGAGCTGATCGCTTCTTGGGGTAGAACGCCATAGAGCCATGGGTAGGCGCGGAGAATTTACGATGAGACATTTCTCAGAAAAATTTTCGACGCTTCCGATCACTTTGAGCGACGATGTCAGAATGTTATGTGTTGTCGATTTGCAAACACTATTGCCTTAACCTTTTCCATGAGACAAGCTTTCTATGACTTCGTGACCTTCACTGAATGCTTTATGCCATACAAATACTTGTGTTCGTGAAAAAGTAGACTCAGACGTAACGTCTGCAATATGTACTACAACTACTTTGTAGCCATTATTTCACGGCGAACACAAAACGTTTAGAAAATTGGATACATGGCGACATAAAATTCTCAAAAATTCAAGGAAACCCAATTCCAGTCATAATGATTACATCCACTTAGAAATCTTTTTTTTTTTTTTTTTTTTTTTTTGGAATTTTTCTTTCAATGAATTGTAATTTTAGTTAATTAATTATTTTTTTGTAATCATAAAAATTTAATTTAA